TATAATGTCCCATATGTTACCATTTTTAGTATCTATTTTACTATATTTTTATATGTTTTAATAAAACTTTTCAACCAAAAGAGGTACTTTTTGTATATGTAGATTTTAATGTTTTAACAGGTTTAATCATCAAAAGGATGCAAAAAGGAGCAAAAGGAGTGTTATCTATGATAGAGCTACTTACTCAAGTCAAAGGAACCAACCCAAGTCATTATATCTTAAAGATAAAGCATATTCTCAAGTTGGACATAATGCATATGCCAGAAGTTTACTACTGAACGGAGGATCAAATAAACTTGGAATCTAATGAAACATGGTGGTAATATAGCCCTTTGAGTCAGCTTGCCAATGGAGTTAGAATTACATCAATTGGATATGTACTTTGGAAGATACACTGGAAACACTGAAGATATGTCAAACTGCCTTAGAAGTGAAGCGAGTGCAGAAACGAGCCTAACACCGGGCCGCCTCTTGGGCCGATGAACCAGGCCATTGCCGACATTCTTGGAGCCTCAAGGAAGACCTCAACACCGGTCACGCAAACCGACCCTTGCTTGGACCAGTGGTTGACCAGTTTTGACCAAAAAGACTCTTTTACCCTAAACTAAACCCAAGCCGACTTAGGACCTCTTCAACCCCTATATATACTTGCTTTTAGCCTCTCTAGGAAGAGATGCATCCGGACAAAACAACTTAAATCAATACCTAAATATGTATTTCGTTTTTCTCTTGTTCTTAATGCATATTTGATTATAAAAGCCTTTAAGGGTAGTTCGACTTTGCCATATTGCAAAGAGATGATCTAACACTTACGCTTTATAGATCAACGATTTATATTATGTTTATGTGCTTTACTCTTGCTGCTACGTGTTGCAAAACATGTTAGAGTATTAGCTTTGATTTGATTCTATGCACTTCTAAATTCTATGTTATCACATATTTAATCGTTTAGAGTTTTATTCTAGAATTGATTCTTCATCTTTATTTACGCTCAAGGCATGAACTGGCTTAGCTATCCAGGGACTGATATTAGTTTGATATACTCTCCAAAAGCTTGTTATATATCCTGACCTAGTTTTTGATGAGCTAGGCGTCTAACAATTCAATAGGTTAGTTAAGGAGTTTAGTGAACAATCAAATCTTATACATCACGCGTGTTTTCACCTTGTAATAAACTGAGATAGTTGACTCTATTAGGGTAGAAAATATAGAGGTTTAAGCCTCGACAGTGAGATAATCTTACATTAGTGATTTGAGTTCTAGAACAACTAGTATTAAAACCCTAAATCGATTGCTTGTTTTTTACATATGTTTTGTGAATTTCTTGATATCTTAATTGATCATCTATCCCTTTACTTATTTGCTTTGTTATTTACTTTCATAAAACCTAAAACAAAATAATATGTTTA